AAACTTCACTGGCAGCTGAATAGTCATGGTCAAATGTGCAAAAAGGTCAGTTCCACAATTTAATTTCTGCAATTAAATTTTTTTCACAAGAAAATCTAACTGCAAACAAAAGTAGCAACAGGCATACTTCCTGTATATCAGCTGCTTTTACTGAGGCAAGATGTGTGAAAATAGACATACTTGCATGCATATACAGAGTTCCTAAGATCTGAGATGGGCTAGTAATACAGCAGTCCTAAATTTACATTAATTTCATAAATCATTTTAGAGTTGATGATGGCAGATACAAGTTACTAAGGCTCTAAAAAGCACATCCTGGTAGAAATAGGATTCTAATTTATTTAGATGTGTGCAAGAATGAAAAGTACATGTTGAATAAACAGCCCACACAAACAGAAGGTGTTGTTACAAGATCAGGCCTTGAATATGAAAATGCCCTAAGCAGCTGGTTTCTTGGTATCACATTGACTAGGAATCTAGACTATGGTAAAAGAGGATGAAAGCTTATCAAGACTGATTTGGTTTAAATAAATAGGATCTGAGGGATGTTTAAATTACTGCTCTGGGTTAAACTGACCCCTAAAAAGGATATGTTGACAGTTCTAACCCTCAGTACCTCAGAATGTGACTTTATTTGCAAACAGAGTCTTTATAGAAGTAATCAAATAAAAATGAAGTCACTAGGATGGGGCCCTAATTCAATTTGTTACAATAACTGGTGTTCTTATAAAAAAGGGAAATTTGGGGGCTTCCCCGGTGGCGCAGCGGTTGAGCGCGGGGTTGCGAAGCTGCCCGCAGCCTCTGCAGTGCCGGTTCTATCCCCGGCTGCTCCCCGGCCACCGGAGGAGGGTCCCACATGGCGCGCAGACCTCTCCTGCCGCCCGCTGCTCCCCTCAGCAGTGTACTTCGGTCCTTCTGCCTGTTCTGCATCCTGCTCTGACTCTGGTGAATTCTCTCACCCTCCCGCGCTGCGCTTCTGACTGTACCCAGTGTTTGTATGAATGGATAAATAAATCTTTAAAAAAATTAAAAAAAAAAAAAAAAAAAAAAAAAAAGGGAAATTTGAACAGAGAAAGACACTCACAGAAGGAAGAATGCCAGGTGACAACAAAGGCAGAGACTGGAATGATGTATTTGTTAAGTCAAGAAATACATGAGGCTACCAAAAGCTAAGGAAGATATATCAAACTGTCCTTTTCTAAAATATTCAGAGGGAGTTTGGCCTTACTGACACCCTGATTTCAGACTTCTGGTCACCAGAACTGTGAGAGAATATATTTCTGTTGTATTAAGCTACCCAATTTGCTACAGAAACCTTCAAAAAGTAAAACATTCCCTCTTCTGGTTCCAACATTATCACTTGTTAAATATTAAAAAAAAAAAAGTATTATTTATTAATAATTTGCCTTATTTTATCAAGGATTTAAAAGCTATAAGCTAGCTTAAAAATCAATATGCTTGACCTAGGAATCTACCCAAAGGACACAAAAACATTAATTCAAAAAGATACTTGTACCCCTATGTTTACTGCAGCACTATTCACAATAGGTAAGATATGGAAACAACCCAAATGCCCCCAAAATAGATGACTGGACCAAGATGTGGTATATATATACACAATGGAATACTATTCAGCAATCAAAAATGATAAACTCATGCCATTCACAGCAACATGGACAAAGCTTGAAGGTATCATGCTCAGTGAAATAAGACAGAAGGAAAAAGAAAAATATCGAATGGTTTCATTTACAGGAGGAATATAGGGGAATCAAATAAGGGATCAGGAAAAAAAGATAACAACAACAATAATAAAACAACAAAACTAGCAGGCAACTATAAATAAGAGACATTCTGCAAGGGACGGGGAGGAAAAGGGATCAAAACAGGGGAAAGATGAGCACAAGGGACTATGGTGATGGGACACGGGAGAATTGGTGGTGGGAATTTTATGGGGACTACACAATGATGTAAAAGATATAAGTAAAAAAATAAACTATAATAAATACCCCCCAAAATATAACAGCATAAAGAAAAAAAATCAATATGCTTGAAAATGTTCATAAATATTAGAGAGGCAAAGAGAACCTTACACATGTAATCCAAAGTTCTGGTCCAGGTTTTACCATGGACCATACTGCGACCTAGCAGAAAAGTTTTGTTACACCTGTTGGTCCTCAATTTCCTCTATTATAGTATAAGATACTCATAAATATCCTACCAATGCAACAGTCTAGGACAAGGTTAAACTCCACAGATTAACAACAAACCATTTGGCATAAAGTCTAACTAGACTTGATCATTTCCTGTTACTATCTCAGAATAGACAAAGGGCTAGACGTTACATTTTTCTCTTAACCGTGTAAATACCACCCCCTTTTTAAGGAGGACAAGGTAGCCTCTCTGTCAGGAACTAAACCTGAAACAAGGAACTCAAGGCCTATTGCTCACTGCTTACTAATAACTCTAACAACATAGGAAGGCTATTTTGAAAATCTAAGTTCCAGTCAAAGTTAAGTATTGTGATTTTTGAAGATCTAATTTCAATTTGCCCAAAATTTAATCTTTACCTGTAAGAGAAAGGTGCTTGGAAACAGACATGCATACTTCACATTTTTTCAGGCAATTCTTTAGGCAATCAGGAGTATATGACAAATTATTTAGAGTAAGAATTCTAGAGGCCTCCCTGGTGGCCCAAGAGGTTAAGATGCAGCACTATGAAGCTATCTGAAGCCACTGCAGCATGAGTTCGATTCCCAGCCAGGGAGGTGACCCACATAGTGCAGCAGACCTCTCCTGACTCTCCTGCTGCTCCCCTCAGCAGTGTATTTCAGTAGATATGCCTGTTCTGCTCCCTACTCTGTCTCTGGTGAATCCACCCCCCATACCTCTGGCCTGTACCCCAGCTCTTGTGTGCATAAATAAATAAATCTTAAAAAAAAAATTCTAAACTTCTCGGGGAAAAATAAATTCAGTATCCCAAAATTTTAGAATGTGTGTTTTTAGGGTGCTTAAATAGATTTTATGATCTCAAAAGGGAATGAAAAGGTCCATTAACTCTTTGGGAGAGGTAATATTTGAGTTTTTAAAAAGGACATTCTAATAGAATTTGATGTCTCTGATTTTTCTTCTTCTTCTTTTTTTTTTTTTTAAATAGAGGCATGTTATTTATTTATTTATCTATTTGTTTGTTTTGTTTATACATGCACTGGGTACAGTCAGAAGCGCAGGAAGGTGAGAGAATTCACCAGAGCCAGAGCGGGGAGCAGAGCAGGCAGAAGGACCGAAGTACACTGCTGAGGGGAGCAGCGGGCGGCAGGAGAGGTCTGCGCGCCATGTGGGACCCTCCTCCGGTGGCCGGGGAGCAGCCAGGGATTGAACCGGTGCCGCAGAGGCCGCGGGCAGCTTCGCAACCCAGCGCTCAACCGCTGCGCCACCGGGGAGGCCCTGATTTTTCTTCTTAAAGCCAGGAAAAGGCTAAATAAAGTACTGGGATAACTACTGTTTCAGGCCTTAGAAGCATAGCAAACAGTATAATTTCATAAGAAAAATAATGATAAAGTAGTTTACCCTGTCTAGTTCACCTCTGGGGGAAACCATTGCATTAATGATTCATTCCACAGCCTAATATCTTAACATCACACCCTAGCATTACAAAGAGTCTCCAAAACACTTACCTATCTTCTCAGGATCAGTTATACCAACTGTCAAATCAAACTGGTCTTCCTGTTCTTCTTCCTCTAGCTTTTTAAAGAGAAGACAAATTATAAGAGTTGATACAATAAAGCTCTAATTTTACCCATCAATCTTATATCAAAATGACATTAATATGTATCATTCTACCCATGTTCAGCTCTGTTCATTCTCAATAAGCCCTATGAGCCAACTCCCATAATTTAAGTTGGAGGCTGTTCAAAGTTCTCTGTTACATCTAGTCTCTTAAAATCTTATTTTGACCAGTGAGTAATTACTAGATTTTGGATGACTTGCCTCTGCCTGGCTAAGTAGAGAATGCAGACACTGGACTCTTGAATGTGGGTGCTTCAGATAAAAAACATCATTAGTGTTATCCTCTAGGTAACAAATACTCTGCACAAAGAAGAGTTCTTTACTAGATTCTGGCTGTCCACTATCCATCAAGGTCTTCTTCAAGAGTCATAAATATTTTATCAAGGTTCATTACCAACTGAACTTCAGACTACAACAATTCCTAAAAATCCAAAGAAATAAGACCAATACCACAGAATCTCACCTCCTCATAGCTTGGTTGGGACTTGGAATTTGTGGCTTCCTGCGGAAGATGAGAAATGAGCGTTTTGGCTGGCACCTTCTTCTGATTATTTTGTGTACTGTCGAGGGATAGTTCCACTGTGGCATCTAAAATTAGTGGATATTTAAAAATGAAGGTCAACATTGGGTCTTTGCTGGCTAAACTTCAGTTCTTCAGGCTGAGAGGCAAGAACAGCAGCAACTACTCTCGATACTTAGAGGTTCTCAAACGAGAAAAACAAGAATCTAGCTTCACGTGGATAAAAGGGTAAGAAGTGTCTTAGTAGAATAATCTCTTTCCCTTCCAGATACAAGTACTTGGCTACCCTCTCCTACCTAGAACTTAAACAAGACCCAGGTAGCAAGCAAAAAGACCACACAGACAAAATAAGTGTGTTAATTTATTCCTAGGAATATTGTTTTAGAAGCTATATGAACACTATATTCTTGTTATAATTCTTTGTGAAAGAAGATGAAGTTTGGTTATTGGCTTTATAAGCCAATAAGATAAAATAAACAGGTATACTAATAGCAAAAAAAATGACATCAAAGAAAGAGTGAGAATACATGGATTCAAGATACAAACACAGTAACACAAGAAAAAGTACTACTGTCTTCATACAGTTTAAAAAACAGTTTAAGAGTTGCCTTTGTCTACCTGGGAAAATCTCAGCTGAGTAGAGCAATTCATTTCCTAAGTGTTCTAGCGAGGAGACTTTAAAAAGAGCATTATGGTGGTACATTCTTCACCAGCACATATACTAAAATTGGAACTATAAAGAGAAGATTAACATGGCCCCAGCACAAGGATGACACCAAAATTTGGGAAGTGTTCCATCAAAGTAGAACATTATGCACCATTTTAGGCATTTTTTTTTTTTTTTTTAGGAAAATAAAAAGAATGCACTTTGAAATTGGAACAATGGAGCTAGAAGTTCAAAACCTAAACAGCTCAGAGAAGGAAAACATAAATAGCTATTTGGGCTTTCAATTTCAGCCTTAGGGAATCCAAAGAAAGGGTTTCTTTTTCTTTTGTAGACTTTCATTTGGACTAAGATGAAACCAGGGGTGAGGAGGTGGGGGCGGGGTGGTTCTATAAGACATAACCAAGGCCTGGATCAGCCTTCTAATCTTAGAAACATGCCTACAAACAAGGTTACCATACTGTTGGAATTCAGTCCCTCTGAGGAAAAGTATCTGACTCCGGTGTGGGAGTACAAAACAGAAAAATGAAGTATACATAAAGAGCATGTCAGAATGGTAGGACTCTTTGAAATAAGCAACTAGCTGACGTGTATTTAAGACAGTCCTATCATGCAGGTTCCCTCATAAATAATTAAAAAATGAAATAGGTGGTACTGTTCATTGAAAACCTTTGGTTTATTAAAGTGCTACTAAAAGCCTTTTAAGAACTGCACCTGTTCTACTGAAATTAATGTGACAAAGATGTCGCAATTTACATTAAAAATGCTTTGTTATTAATACTTTTGTAAGAGTGATGGGAAAGCCTTTGGACTGTCAGAGAGAGCTTGAACATCACTAACCTAACTATATGGAAAATAAAATCAGAACATTTAAAGTCCCATAGACAGCATCTAAAACATCAGAGAAAGCACTTGAAATCCTAAACTAAAGGTCTCATTGTATACATTCCTTCCCACAGGCAGCTAATGTTCCTTTTGTAGTACTGAGGCAGATATTGATTGCTTATGAAAATGGCAGGGGAAATGAAATAAATCTTCTTTAGCAATAAATATATCCCTAATAAAGGTCTTCCTTTATTCCATAAAACTCACATAGAGGCAACTCAGTCTCACTAAGATTTCAGGACTTCTTGTAAGGAAAGATAACATAAATGTCAAGATCCCAAAGACAGAAAAACCTTAAACTGCCATATAACTAAAGACATTCACTATTTGTATTTCTCTTCCAGAAACTTATTGAAAAAATCATTACCAAAATGAATAGTGTGCACTTCAAGTTTCAAAGATGAAAGGAAACGAAAAATATCCTAAATCTTTATAGTCCTTCTTTTAACATATCCCTTTCCTTCAAATCTCCTACCAGAGTTCAAATGTCAGAGTCTTGACAAGATTTCTTCTCCACCATCTCTTCTCTCCCCTTCTTCTCTATTGTCTCCTTTGAGGATCTCATTCAAGGCAATTTCAACTACCACCCTAGGAAGAACATTCCCAGATCCCCAGTTCTTTCTTTCCCCATGTAGAGTACCACAGTGCAAATCACCTTCTGGGCATTTCGCCTCACACTTCAAATATCTAAAAGAACTTCCCAAAGCCAGTTTCTTCTTTAGAATCTGTTTCTTGGGCCTCCCCTGGTGGCGCAGCAGTTGAGCGCTGGGTTGCGAGGCTGCCCGCAGCCTCTGCAGTGCCAGTTTGATCCCCAGCCACTGGCGAGGGTCCCACCAAAAAAAAAAAAAAAAGGATCTGTTTCTCAAACAGTGTAATTTTCTTCCCAATTCTTGGAATTGAAATCATTGATTTTATTTTCAATACCTATTTTTTTAGACACCCATTATATCCATTCACTAAAACTGGACTTTGTTGATTTCTTTTGAAAAATTTCACCATTCCCTTCCTACTATTATCACCTTATTTTTGGTCTATGCCATTTCATTCCTCAACTAAGTTGTGACTACCTTCTAAAGTCTCCAGTCTTTGGCTGCTATAATCCATTTATACAATTCTACTAGATCAGTTTCCTAAAATATTACTTTATCGCTGTCACTTTTCCTTGTCAGAACTGCTGATGGCTCTTAATTGGCAAGGGTAAAAAAAATCAAGCTCTAGGGCCTCCCTGGTGGCACAGCCGTTGAGCACTGGGCTGCGAAGCTGCCCGCAGCCTCTGCAGCGCCAGTTTGATCCCCGGCTGCAGGGCAAGGGTCCCACATGGCGCGCAGACCACTCCTGCCGCCCGCTGCTCCCCTCAGCAGTGTATTTCGTCAGTCTGCCTGTTCTACTCTCTGCTCTGGCTCTGGTGAATTCTCTCACCCTCCCGCGCCTCTGACTGTACCCAGCGCTTGTATAAATAAAAATAAATAAATAAATAAATAAATAAATAAATAAATAAATCTTTAAAAAAATAAAAATTCAAGCTCTAGTTATTATTGACATCTAAAAACCTCCTAAACTGCATTTCCAGGTTTTGCTTCCATGGTTTCTTTAAGAAACTCCTGCTTTGGTCTACCAAGTTTATTGACTATTCCTTGAAAATACATCTGATACCTCTTACCCAACCATTTATACTCTTTTTTCCTTTATAAATCCTGTTTTTTCCGGAAGTCTTCCTAGATCTAAAAGAGTTTCTCATGGGCACTACCAACATTCTGGCCTGGACAATTTCTTTTGTGCAGGGCTGTCCTATATACTTTAGTGAGTTTAGAGCATTTATGGTCTGTATCCACAAGATACTGGTAAACCTTCCAAGTTTACCAATAATAACCCAAATATCTCCAACCCAAAATATCTCCAACCATTGCCAAATAATCACCCCTAGTTGAGAACAGGAAAATCCCTCTCAAGAAAAAAATTTTGGGGCCCCAAATATTAATAGTGTTGAGATTGAGAAATTCCACTTTACTCTAGTGTTTTTCAAATTGCAGGTTGTGGCTCATTGGTAAATTATTAAATAAATTCAATGGGCTGACACAGCACTTAAAGAGAAATAACAGAAATTCTCATATTGTACTGAAAATAGAAAAGGGCAAGGTATTTAATAAAAAGTTGTTTCAGCTATGTACAAATGTTTTTGGATTATGATACAAAATGATATGTCATGGTCAATATAAGTCAAAAGTCACTATATACTTTAGTCTGATTTCAGACACCTCTGAGTTCCCGTGACTTAATATTCCTAATCTTTCCTCTGGGCATATCTGTATTATTATTTGACAGTTTACTGTTGAAATAACTGTTGAAATAACTATGTATTTATATCATACTCTTGAAATAACTGTGTATTTATATATCTTATTTCCTAAGCCTGTAAGAATCTTAAAGGCAGGGACTGAATTTTACATGTTTTGGGATTCTCCACAGTAGCATCTAACATAAAATTGTGTACAAACACACACACACACGAAACACAATTCTACATATATATTGGTTCCTAGTATAAGTTTGACTCCATACTTGCCTGCAAAGAGATCTTGTGGCTCTTGATCTTGTTCCTCATGAATCCCATTTTCTTTGGAGCCATTGTTGAAGGGAAGAAGGGTAGTAATTCTCTTTGGAGACTGGGGCTTACTCTGAAAACAAGTAGATACTCTAAATAAAATGGTACTATTAAAAACAAACCTAGGAAGTGACTTTTAATGCTTTGCTCATTTGCTCTCACAGATGATTAGGGAAAGACAGGCTCACTGCCAGTCAGTTCAATAAGCAGCAGCAGATCATTATTAATGATTGAAGTACTGCCTCAACGATCACAGAACTAAAAAGAATAAATAAATAACCTTGTGAATTTCACGGTTAATTTCTAAAACTGTAATCTTGCATTTCAATCCTACCCCAAAGCACATGATACCAATTAGGTATGTGGTACAGATAACTTTTTTTTTTTTTTTTAAAGATTTTTATTTATGTATACAAGAATCGGGGTACAGGCCAGATGTGTCGGCAGGTGAGAGGATTCACCAGAGACAGAGTGGGGAACAGAACAGGCAGATCTACTGAAATACACTGCTGAGGGTAGCAGCGAGCAAGCCAGGAGACACCATGTGGGCTGCTCTGCCGCCGATGGGGATGGACCGGCACTGCAGAGGCTGCGGACAGTTTCACAGCACTGCACTACAACCCGCTGTGCCACCGGGGAGGCGATAATTTTCAAAAGAACCGGTCCAAATGCCTTTCTCCTTCTTAGCTGATGACCTTTATTCTTTCAGATGTTGATGGGTCACATTCTAGTGACCAGGACATCACACTGGATACTCAGAATTCAAGCTCTGATCCTTGATTACTTGTGGCGTTGGCTAAACTGTTCACTGGCACCCAATGTTGTGTATATTACTGACCCTTCCCTCCAAAGGCGAAAGTGTTACACTTTACATCTAATGTTGCTATAAAAATATCTTTATCTAGGGTCTCCCTGGTGGCACAAGGGTTTCAATCCAGGCCAGGAAGCTAATCCACATGGCACAGCAGACCTCTCCTGTCATGCCCACTGCTCCCCTCAGCAGTGTATTTCAGTCAATTGGCCTGTTCTGCTCCCCACTTTGTCTCTAGTGAATCCTCTTACCCTCCAGCACCTCTGGCCTACACCCCAGCTCTTGTATGTATAAATAAATAAAATAAATCTTCAACAAAATCTTTATCTTTTCATCTTTAACTTAGAGGACACAATTCTGAATCACATGAACCTCAGGCTATAATAAAAACCAGTCATGCTTAGCCTAGTGGACACATGGTGAAAAACAGTCAGTTGATGGCCTTTATCAAAAGCTCAATGATCAACCACAAACAAGAGGTGGGTGGGGCACCAGAGCCTCAACAGAGTGAACAAAGCTAGATTGTACAGAACTGAACAGAAAGCTGGGAATCCAGCTTCAAAAGCCATGATGTGGTATTGCGGCTTTTGAAGTCATACCCCAAGGCCAAAACAGTTAAAAGACCTGACATAAGGAATTTTTTATGAAACATTTTCTTAACAAATCTAAGGGCATCTGTTCCTCAGAAACAGGCCTTTTCTGATCCAATAGCGCGAACTGAAATGACAGACCTATTGGGTACTCTGAATTTGCCAGGAAAATGACTTTAATCCAATATTAGGGCCACCCTCTGGAAAGAAAATGCTACCAATATTTAGATTTATATTAGTGAACAATGCTTC